TGGTTTTACACTCAAATGTATTTCATGTTAGCTGAAGATGAAATAGAATGTAACCAAATAGGATTAGACGATATGTTCAAATTTTTTAAAATCTTGATGACCCAATAAATTCCGCTCTGGATTCTGCAATCATTTTCAGAATATATTATTGTTTAACGATCCCCCATCATATTAAAAGACTAATATATGAACCATGAATAGTCTATTCGATAAATTCTCCTTAGGTTCTACAATTATATATCCAAATTGATAATCCGGAATTTGGCCAGATTTAGAGCAAAGTGCATCGTTTAGAGTTAGGATTGTTAGACAGAAAATTGTGAATGTTGATATGACTCATATGGAATGTTAACTTCAATCAGATTATATGTTGAGTAAAATTTTAAGATCCATGATCCGAATAACTATGGGTCAGATAGGGTGAGAAAACTAGTAGTGTAATTACAAATTCGACCAGATGTTTGATAGGAGACTGTTAGGTTTGAAGCTAGCATGAGTTCACTTGATCTGAGAACGAGAACAAAGACTCAGTGACCAAGACCAGTAAGCTAGTGTTAGCGGGACATAGACTGGATTAAAGCATGCTCAATGCACAATTGCTTTGGTGCACGCTGATTGGCTAATTCTTGTCCAACAAGCACTGGTCGATACTTGGAGAACACTAGATTCTTATGTAAAAACAATAAATACACTAACGTTTTCCCTATTGTGCTTCTTACTTGTTATTTGGAATATAATCTCTTTCCTGCTCAACCGTGTTCTGATTTGGGGATTTGTCGAGTGAATCGGTGTCCGAGAATACTAAGCAATAGGAATAGCTGGGTCATAACCGTAAGAAAGAGATTATAACAGCTAGCTATTTGATGCGTCCCAGACCCGCTAACTAGAGCGAGAAGTCCAAGCTTGGAATGGGAAAGTATACTCTGCAAACAGCCAGAAACGAGCGATAACAACAAACACAATTCAAAACGTATATATACAGTGCAAAACCGTCCTTGGGGAGAGTTACCAAAAAGCATACTAAAAGACGCAACTGACCAATAGCATTTAAGATATTTCCCAGTGGGAAATAAGGCATGAAGGTAACAAGAGCGCCTTTGGCGCGAAAACAAAGAAATTCAAATTTTCTAAATAAAATTACAAAATTAAGTCATTTCTCAAGTGAGTTCTGGGGATCTAACGTCCTCAACAGAGACTATAATGTGTAAAAAAAGTTGGTAAGATAGAATAAAGTGTAATGAATGAGAAGTGAATGAATAATTTATTTGGTGGATTAATAGCGATGCTAAACCAATAATAATAGTAATACAGATATATATGTGAATAAAGATAACAGACATATATTAGTCTTTTAATATGACGGGGACATTCAAACAATGACAGAGACAGTTATATTTGACTATGAAAGGCTAAGATTACTTAACATATAAACACTAACAATCCTAAATTCACATGTTATCAATCTGAACGAGGTAATTTACTCTTAACATGGCCGATTCCTTGATTATCAATCTGGATATATAATTGTAGTAATAGAGCCTAGGTAAAATTTGCAGTGTGGAAGAAGCCTCAACACTATGGAGACTTCTTCGACACTACGGCGTCCCTGAGAAAGTAGTCAATATCATACGGAGTTCCTATGTTGAATTAAACTGTAAAATCGTGCATGGAGAACAGCTCATAGACTCGCTCGAAGTAAAGATCGGTGTCAGGCAAGATTGCTTACTCTCACCTTATCTCTTTCTCCTAATGATCAACTGGATCATGAAGGCGTCAACATCTGAAGGGAAACACGGGATACAATGGACATCTAGAATGCACCTGGACGATCGAGACTTCGCAGATGATCTGGCCCTTCTATCCCAAACGCAACGACGAATGCAGGAGAAGACGAACAGTGTAGCAGCAGCCTCAGCATCAGTAGGTCTCAATATACACAAAAGGAAAAGCAAGATTCTCCGATACAACACAGCATGCACCAATCCAATCACAATTGACGGAGATGATTTGGAAGATGTAAAAACCTTTACATATCTGGGCAGCACCACTGATGAAGGCGCGGGTCGGCAAAACAAGAGCAGCATATTTACGACTGAAGAATATCTGGAACTCAAAGCAACTGTCAACCAACACCAAGGTCAGCATTTTCAATACAAATTTCAAAACTGTTCTATTGTATGGGGCGAAAACGTGAGAAACTTGGAAAGCCAACATCCAGAAGGTACAAGTGTTTATTAACAGCTGTCTACGCAAAATACTTCGGATCCGTTGGTCGGACACTATTAGCAACAACCTACTGTGGGAGAGAACAAACCAGATCCCAGCGGAGGAAGAAACTAGTAAGAAGCGCTGGAAGTGGATAGGACACACATTGAGGAAAGCACTCAACTGCGTCACAAGACAAGCCCCCGCATGGAATCCTCAAGGCCAAAAGGGGAGGTGAAGACCAAAGAACACATTACGCCGATAAATTGAGACAGATATGATAAAAATGAGCAAAAATTGGATAGAACTAGAAAGGAAGGCCTAGGATAGAGTGGGTTGGAAAATGTTGGTCGGCGGCCTATGCTCCGTTGGGGGTAACAGGTGAAAGTAAGTATGTAAGTAAAATTTGGATGGATGAATACATTAATAATTTAATGTACACCACCTTTCTGACTGAAATTGATCAAGTCAATCATTTTTATTTAAATCAGGTCATTATCAAACTGTTTAAACAGGTGATTACAGGAAATCAGATTAGATTTTTATTAACACAAATGCTATTGTATCAATATTTGACCATTCGTAATGATGTTAATACATTAAAGCACAGTAGTTATTGAATATTATTCATATTGCTAAATGTAAATTATTCAAAGTGATGAATAAATAAACTTAATTGGTTATGATAACATATATTTCATATCCCACGAAAACCTATGTAGTAGAGGGAATAATACCATCTAACCAAACGAGTGTATTTTTTTAGAAAGGTTATGTATGTTGCAAACTGTCTTACCGTCAACTGACTGATATAACCTACAGCATTACTAAATATAACAAACATTATCATGGCAAGCATAGTAAAATAATCCCGAACTTAGGACTAATTACCTACTCAATACTCACTAGTTTCCAGGGTCTTTCACGTGAATGAACAGCATTTTAATGAAGAAAGAAATTTCCCTTATATTCACTGCAATATCTTACACAACCATCTGATATTTGATTAAAACAATGATAAAACCGACATACTAAATTTTTGTAAGCAATGATGGATAGTGGCTAGCAGTGGAATCCGGGACGCGCGTTTCGTCCTATTCGGGACTCGTCAGGCGGACGTACCTGCATCTCAGAGTTGATGTTCACTCTGGGACTGGAACCCAGTACCATTCGCATTGAACGTCATCGTGTTATCCACTGAGCTACTAAATCCTGATAGCCACTTCTATGTGCAACGGGGTGAATTTAAATTCACTTGGCATTGTTTGGCTTGAATCTTCTTCCCATTGAGGTTGAAGACTGCAATTGATCAATCTGTTATTGGCATATGTGCATACTGTGTGTATGCCAATAACAGACTGATCAATTGCAGTCTTGAACCTCAATGGGAAGATGCAAGCCAAACGATACCAAGTCGACATACTAAATGTTTACAGTTAGTTGATGCCCATTAAGAGAAATACTTAATCACGAGCTTTAAGAGGTTATTACATTCTGTTTCGTCACCATTTAGGAGTACCACATGGTAAAGCTGTCACAGAGACATATGCCATAATCTTTAAATTTATGATTAGAAGTTACCCTTGAATTACTGACTTGATTTAGGTATACTACAGCTAACGTAAAAACGGTAATGATGATTTTTTTAAAGAACTGGATGTCGATGTTGGTAAACTAATGATTCCCTATCCTCAAAGCCATTTGACTAAAAGCCTTAAACCACTTCTTTGCTGCCCTTCATTAGATAAGTATATTAATATTATTGAGGGAAATTACAATGCCGTTTAAACCCACGTCAATTAGTATCCTGAAACATAACCCGATAATATCTGACTAAGTTATTAGCGAAATTCAGTCTCGTCAACAAGCTAACAAAGGTATGAGTCACAAAATCTGTCAACCAACTCCACACATCTAACATTCAAACAATGTATGCTACAATGTGTCACTTAACTTAGTGGTTACAATCCACTATACTGAAGAACAGCATCGACGACTATTCAGTGATCAACTCCTAAGTATGATAAACATTATCGAAATCCATTTATGCACTGGCAAAGAATATTGACTAGGGTTAGAAACATGGTTACTAAAACAAAGAGCTTATCACAACGACGAGTTATATCTGATGCTAATTATATGGAAACGAATCAAGAGGAATTTAGTGTTTTTTTGTTATTAAGTAAATCAATCTCATTAATTTATACAGTTTATCGATGAGAAATATCAACAATGGAATTAAATTGGTATTAAATCAAAACTGAACGTTTCCTGACACCAAACTGGCGAAAAATATAAATCTACCACTTCTACACAGAATATCCACCAAGGACTATCTTCATAAGAAACGGCACTGTAACAAACGTAAGTATTCAACACTTGAATTAAACAGGTGTATTAAATTAGATTATATTTTTACTAGTAAATTGATTGTCTACTATTTCACCATTTAGTGAAATCTATTTTGGTGGTTTTGTTCTCTAAGCTGAATAGTTTGGTCGTGGAGCTTTCATCGTTCTTCTGAACGGCATCATCAGAACAGACTTCACTTTTATCTGAAGCTCCATAACCAAACTATTCAGCTTAGAGAACAAAATTCCACCAAAATCATCCACCTGAACTACAAATCTCCACCATCTCTGTTAAATCTATTCTAGCACGAAATCCAGATTACAGATTTTCCTGACTACCTCCGTTAGTATGAAGCTCTCTGAACATTGGCCTACGGACTTGATGAGGGAAAACTGATACATAAGAACATCAACACGACTAAAACACTTCACAACACCATAATATTTAAAGAAATCACAATTGTTTTAATAATAATAATGAAATATATAATTATTCAATAATGACAGGACCAAACTTATATCCATACACTTTTTTTTCGGTAAAATAAATAAGTTCAGTAAATTAACGGAACTATAGAATAAACAAACAATAGGGGGGAAATATTTGAATCCACAATTACGAACTATTAATATGCAACAACCTTTAAAAAAAATGTTCGAACGAGAAAAAGAACAAAACAAAACGAGAATGTTTTTTTTTCTTTCAATGTTGTGGATTAAACAGAATATGAAATGAATAATAATAATAATAATAATAATAATAATAATAATAATAATAATAATAATAATAATAATAATGGCAACAGTAATGTTAATAATAATAATATTAATTGCATGTCTTTTATAGTTTGACGAATTCTTTGTTATACAGAAACTAGGATACGTACGAATTATTTTAAATGCTAATCAAATAGTCCACCATTCCATTACTATCAATAAACTATATGTAATGTAAATAGAATTAACAACTGTAAAATGTGAGCAACTTTCAATGATGATACACCATTCATTATTCCAGGCGTACTTGTAACTATCTTAGGATTATCTAAAAATAAAATAAAAATGATCCATTAACTAACTAATTACATAATCAAATGTAGTACGCTTTAAGTACAGTTCACTGTAAACGAAATGTCTAAACATAAATTACCTCTGTGATATCATTTCAAATAAATGAAATCGATTTATTATTTCCTTTTTAATAGTAGTTATCTATGCAATTACATTTAAGTTAGTAAAGTAGTGCATCATAGATTGTTTTCAACTTCCATTTAAATTGATTTCATTGCATCCATGGTGTTAAGTAATGGGTAGGTTATTAATTCGAAATTTGAACGAAAGAGGAACTGTTAGAATTAGTAATGTTAAACTTGAACCATACGACTTCAAAATGGGTTTAGTTCCGTTGGAAGTTTCAAAAACAATTCTATGTACAAGTGGAACTATAAGTCAATGAATTCACAAGCAATAAATGAAACCAAAAAATAACCCTAATAATAATTCAGATGGATGTATTGTGTAGAGTTTAGCTGAGGTGATTTTTTAGTCGAAGACAACTTACTACTGTCTCCATGTTAACTATGAATTTTACTCAAACCTATATGAGCATACCCTATGCAAATAACAAGAGGAACTAGTTAAGAAATTACAATCTAAGTAATAACCCATAATCAGTGACTAAAAAGATCAAACTGGAAGGATTATGCTGTCATGAAAGTGAACTAAAATAACGTAATATAAAAGAATTGGTACAGCCCCATAAAAACTGTCAATTCCCATTAAGTTAAACACCTTGCTGTTCTATTTAAAATCCCAGCATAATCGCGTGGAAACTTTCACCACTACACTACAGCTTTTGTGAATATTTCAAAAAAAATCAGTAACATCAAGAAGTATCAATATGAACTATTTAATGAAATCCAGACTATCAATTCTCACACATTGTATGAACATATATATTTAAAAGCACCGAAACTTTGATAATTCAGTTGGTTTTTATACAACATTAAATAATGATCGCTACTAAATTCAAATGTTTCAAGGCATCCTCAATAGGTCCCATTACTGATGGAACTTACCAGTTCTACGCATTTTATAACCGAAAATGTTGTTAATGTCATCTAGAATTTTCCTTCAAGACTTCACAAAGAAGTGGATGAGCAATTAATCTCAAGTTTACACAAAGTAGAAAATTCTAATCTACCTTTTTATGAGAAATGTTTAGTAATTCTAAGCATATTTTTAAGCATCATTCTAAAAATCCGTGATGACTATAAATCAATATTTCATAAAACAGACTGACTTAAATTTACAACTCATGAAGATCCCCAACATTTAATTATTCATCTCCACATTTTGAACTTGACGGATCAGGAAAAATGCAACAAGAAAGTACCGAGTATGTTCATGGTTTTAAAATAAACTCAAGGACCAGCTCTATTAGAGGAAAATTTTTGAAGTCAATATGGATACCGAGGAAATGCCAAACTACAGAAATAACGATACTGGCTTCGTTTCTAGGTTAAATACAGCGGTAGACACTTTCACACAGGATATTTCGACATGCATGGCGTAGAGAAATCCTCTGTCCACAAAGCCCACGATAAAATAGACATAAATGGCAGACAACCTGCATGTATGAAAACCCTAAGATAGTAAGAATATCATAAGTTAACCATAATACTATCACACCTAGTACTCCAAAAATATCTAGAGACATTAATTACAATTCGTTTAAGATATCAACTAACTATTTCAGCGAAATTAAAATGTCTTACCTCAGAAGCTAAAACTTATCTACGCTTCTAGTCATAGTTTCGAATAAATAAAAACATCAGCTTGACGAGAATTATTTTTCAGCGACGACTTATGAATTATTATGACCAGTTTGAATACGAATTGCTAAGATACAGAAAGTTGTGACTGAGTATATTAACCTAAACGAGCACAAAACTAACTCCCAGTAAGATACATACTATGGACAAAATAGAAAAGATTACTACCATATTAGTTATTTACTCACTAATAAATAGTAATGAACCCATAACTGTCACCTCAAGACATAAAAATTTAATCTAGCCATTCAGCCGTAGGATATGGAATCAGTATACCAAATAATAATGACATCGTAAGAAAAGTGAAATCACCTAGTCATAAATCGTGATGAATAGGGGACAAGCCACAACAAAACATCATGCATAATACAACACTACAAGAGCTTCTAACCTGTAGTTCGGTATTTTCCCTGTTCACTTTCCATGCTCGAAGACACAATTTCCGTGGTACTTGTCTCACTTTCTTGAAGAGTAGTCTTTAGACTCACCGAGGACTCTGACTCCGTTGTTCTCACATCCAAAGACTCCTCTCCAACCACATTGGCAATCACAGATTTGTTACTTTGTCGTGTAACATTCAACTCTGTATCAGAGGACTCAGATGAAACATTGTCAGTACTTGATGAAGTGTCACTAGTCCCTTCAGATCCCACTGGAGTAGTGGTGCTAGTTTTGCCAGTAACATCAATATCAGTACTTGCTACTGAAGCAACATCAGCAGTCTCTGTACTTAATGTCATAGCCGAAGGATCCGTTTGTGTCCAAGTTGTGGATGATAACGTTGTATCGCTAAGGTTATCAGTTGACTCAGATGCAGAACTAGTAAACGAATCATTTGCATTTCCAGTTGTTAAAATGACACTCATGAAAATAGCATAGAAAATAAAATGGATCATGTACACTCCACTATAACAATAAAATAACTTTCGACTATACATTCCAATAGTTTACAATGATGCAATTAATTTAACTAAACTGATTTGAATATTATAAGAAATCAACAATAGTTTCGACGTTAAATTTTAAAATGAATCAATGATTGATTTATATTCGTTGATCCACAGCCCAATTTATAATAAATCTGCCCATCTAAATAGATTTGAACGATCGATATATTTCTCTATAGTTTAGCACAAACTAATAATTTGATTGGTTTGTGAAATGTTTTCTAACATTCATGATGATGATGAGTGGGCAAATCAGAATACTCAAATAATATTCGAGTATGACGAATGCATATAACACAGTAGAACATTAAAGCCCACACACAAAAAAAACAAAAACAAGCTCCAATTCTAGGATGAGGAGCTACTACTATAAGCGGATTGATAATTGTAGCCTATTCTTATGTTATACTTAGAATTTAATGCTAAATGACTCGGAATTTAAGAGTTAGAATTTAGGCACAACTGTATGTATATTTCATATACATAATAAATGTGGTCACCATAATAATTATCAACTTTACAGAATATATTGTTGTAGCAGTTGTAAACATCAGAAAGCCACTTGAAATAAATGAACTATTTCTTCAAGTATTGTTTTTAGGGTAAACATTGACAGTCCCTAGTATCTTGTGTTATTCAACCTACAAGATGAAGTCTCCATATAACATTTCAACAGGGTGTAATTCTGTGGGGAGAAGAGATTGTGGTTGTAATCTATAGGTAATAAGGTTGATTTTAACTTCACTTTATCGTGGTTCATATCTGAACTATACAGTGCCAAATGCATTGAAAACGTACATATTTGGTGTTAAGATAAAATACAAATAATCGGTAATATTTTCAACAATCACTAGAATTTTTATTTATATTACTTCCTAAATTATTATTTTTAGGCTTGAACATAACATCAGTTTTCTGATAATCATTCACCCAAGATTTTTAGGAACTGTCGTGGTGTGTAATCACTCTAGTCATAATAGAGAACTATCTTTTAGATTCCTAAGCGTGGAAGCAATAAGAAACTTTTAAACGAATAAATATGGTCCTGAGTTTGAATCTGGTGAGAACTCCGCCCGGAGTCCCTTCGGGGGCTACTGCCGGTCCCAAGCCCGGATAAAGGAGGAGAGGTGGGCATGGAGTTAGCGTCTCCATCCCGTAGAAAGGTAACTCGATAAAAAAAACGCTAACCAGAAAAAATTATTCAAACCTTTTAAACTCTGCCCTGGGAGTCAGAAGGTCTTCATTTAGAAGAACTATGACGTCTCATGATGAAAGCTGAATTCCGTCGGAAGTTACGAGGCTGAAGCCCCTTCTGACAACCAGAGCAACCATTTATTTAGGTACATGGAATGTTCGTACAATGTGGGACACCGGGAGAGCCTTCCAAATTGCTGCAGAAATGAGAAGATACAACCTAGAGGTACTTGGGATCAGTGAAACACATTGGACGCAAGTTGGACAACAACGACTAACTTCAGGAGAGCTCCTGTTATACTCCGGCCATGAAGAAAATGCCCCACATACACAAGGAGTTGCATTGATGCTGTCCGAACAAGCACAAAATGCACTTATAGGATGAGAATCTCATGGACCAAGGATCATCAAAGCCTCCTTCAAAACAAAAAAAGAGGGCATTTCAATGAACGCCTACCAACGACTACAATGAAGACGCTAAAGATCAATTCTACAATGGGCTGCAGTCAATAGTCGAGAAGTGCCCAACAAAGGACCTGACCATTCTGATGGGAGATTTCAATGTCAAGGCTGGAATGGACAACACTGGATATGAAGACATCATGGGACGACACGGACTGGGAGAAAGAAACGAAAATGGTGAGAGATTCGCAAACCTATGTGCCTTCAATAAACTGGTCATAGGCGGCACCATATTCCCACATAAACGCATTCACAAAATCACATGGACTTCACCGGATCACACTACACAAAACCAAATCGACCATATCTGCATCAACAAAAAGTTCAGGAGGATGGTGGAGGATGTGAGAACCAAGAGAGGAGCTGACATAGCATCAGATCATCACTTGCTGGTCGCCAAGATGAAATTGAAACTTAAGATTTACTGGACAATGGGGCGGACAACACCACAGAAGTTCAAAACGGCCTTTCTTCAGGATACTGATAAACTCAACAAATTCAAGATAGCCCTCAGCAATAAAATTCCAGGCCTTTCATGATCTACTCAATGGAGAGGGAACTACTATGGAGAGCAACTGGAAAGAGATAAAGGAGGTAATCACTTCAACATGTCATGAGGTTCTGGGCCAGAAGAAGCAACATCACAAGGAATGGATCACTGTTGATACACTGGGTATGATTTAAGAAAGGAGGAACACGAAGGCAGCAATCAATACAAACCAAGAGCGGTGAAGCAGTAGGACCAGACAATATTCCAGCAGAAGCACTGAGAGCAGACGTAGCAATAACTGTGAAGATACTCCACATTCTCCTCAGCAAAATTTGGGATAAAGGACAAGTACCAACGGACTGGAAAGAAGGAAACCTGATCAAGAGATCAAAGAAAGGCGATCTCAGAAAGTGTGAGTACTACAGAGGCATCAATCTTCTCTCAATACTAGGAAAAGTCTTCAACAGTGTGTTGTTAAACAGAGTGAAGGACTGCGTAGACCCCCAACTTCGTGACCAACAGGCAGGATTCCGTAAGGATAGATCGTGTACAGACCAAATCGCAACTCTACGGATCATTGCGGAATAATCAGTTGAAGGAAATTCATCACTCGACATCAACTTCATTGACTACGAAAAAGCATTTGACAGCGTGGACAGAACAACACTATGGAAACTTCTTCGACACTACGGCGTCCCTGAGAAGGTACTCAATATCATACGGAATTCCTATGGTGGATTAAACTGCAAAGCCATGCATAGAGGACAGCTCATTGACTCGTTCGAAGTATAGACCGGTGTTAGACAGGGTTGCTAACTCTCACCCTTTCTCTTTCTCCTGCTGATCGACTGGATCATGAAGACGTCAACATCTGAAGGGAAACACGGGATACAATGGACATCTAGAATGCACCTGGACGATCGAGACTTCGCAGATGATCTGGCCCTTCTATCTCAAACGCAACGACGAATGCAGGAGAAGACGAACAGTGTAGCAGCAGCCTCAGCATCAGTAGGTCTCAATATACACAAAAGGAAAAGCAAGATTCTCCGATACAACACAGCATGCACCAATCCAATCACAATTGACGGAGATGATTTGGAAGATGTAAAAACCTTTACATATCTGGGCAGCATCATTGATGAACAGGGTGGATCTGATGCAGATGTGAAGGCGCGGATCGGCAAAGCAAGAGCAGCGTATTTACAACTCAAGAACGTCTGGAACTCAAAACAACTGTCAACCAACACCAAGGTCAGCATTTTCAATACATATGTCAAGGCAGTTCTACTGTATGGGGCAGAAACCTGGAGAACTACGAAAGCCATCATCTAGAAGATACAGGTGTTTATTAACAGTTGTCTACGCAAAATACTTCGGATCCGTTGGTCGGACACTATTAGCAACAACCTACTGTGGGAGAGAACAAACCATATCCCAGCGGAGGAAGAAACTAGTAAGAAGCGCTGGAAGTGGATAGGACACACATTGAGGAAAGCACTCAACTGCGTCACAAGATAAGCCCCCGCATGGAATCCTCAAGGCCAAAAGAGGAGGTGAAGACCAAAGAACACATTACGCCGATAAATGGAGATAGACATGAGAAAAATTAACAAGAATTAGATGGGACTAGAGTGGGTTGGAAAATGTTGGTCGGCGGCCTTTGATCCATTAGGAGTAACAGGCGAAGAAGAAAATAAGAAGAGTGTGAATCTCGTGAGGTGAGATCGTGGATGCGCACTGTTATGGAGTCCCACAATAGAACGAAACGGCCTTCTAGTGCTTCCAGGTTTTCCATATTAATCTAGCTTTAATTGACTCATGATCTCAACTACTGAATAAATATAGGTTAGAAAGTAACTACTCACAGATCTACAAGCGATTTTTATTTATTAATTACGATAGGCATCAATGACAAGATTGGACTTGATAGTTTCAAACAAATTGAATATCAGGATACTACAAATATATTGTTTTTATTAATTTCTACTCAGTTGTTCTGAAATTATCAAGTCAAACCTTGGTAATGACACTGACAAACTCATTATTAATTGGGTAGAAAGTTAATAATAAATGTGTTTTCTGTTATATCGCAAGTACCATTTACTTACTCTCAAGAATTAGCTTAAATTACGTCACGTTACGTCAAAAATACAATTTTTCTTGAGATTAGATGGTGGTTGGAGGTAGTCGACAGGAAACCATGGACCCGGGTTTCGTGTTACTTGGCACTTGTCAGCAAGGTGTACCTGTAATCTTGAGGGAACTGGTGCTCCCTGGCGGATTCGACCCCGTGTCAGCCAGCTTCACAGTCAGAGACGTTACCACTGAGCTATCCGTGCCGCGATCTAATCTCAATATATAGTGCACACAGTGTCCAGTCACCTAGACTGGTGACCACATCGCAACATGGTCGATAGGATTCGATCTGCACTAAATAAGGACTTGATACACATGACATTGATCACCACCCAGTGATCAATCAATTGTGGATACAATTTTTCTACTCATTGGGACATAACAAAAAATAAATGTTTATTATTCATTACAATGTTTGATACTCAATACGCTCAAAATATTACAAATTGATGGGAAATAACTTTTAATGTGATGTCGAATTTACGTTCTGACTCTATGAGGATCTACCAGTAAAACTATTCCAGGTCGATGTTGTAATAAACGATTAGCAAAAGTTAGGGTAAGACAAAATTGACTTGTCAGTTCAATGGATAAAAGTATATCATTCTAATAAATGCTAACTTATGATAAATAATAAACTAACATCCATTACAATCGACATTGATGAATTTCACTGATCATTGATTCCCATTAGAACGCCGGGAATTTCCTTTCAAAGTTATACTGTGGTGGCAAGGTCACATATGTCCACTGTTGAGAAGTCCCATACTAGGACAAAACAGCTGTCTAGTGCATATATATAATCTCCACAACCCCCATTACCATGTTTTCTCCACTAGCTAACTTCGAGAAGA